CGGCGGTTGCTAGAAGGTTAGGAGACATGGGGCAGTTTAGGATTGGGCTATGGCTTTGGAAGAAAGCACTAGTAGGAAGTTAGCACTTGTGGTCCTGGCTGACAAAATGACATATGCATAGGAGGGACACAGGAGACACCATATCTGATTTCGTGGACTGGAAAATGGAGGACTAGGTAACAACATGGGAAAAGCTCTATGGCACACAGCAGAAAAAAAAAGGTAGATTTATGTTTTTTAAGAGTTATTTAGAGTCTCAATCTCAAAAATCTTGGATAGTGTCCACTAGTCCTAGGAGCCTGCTGGCCATATTATCTAACCCATTCCCACCTAAATATATAGTCACGGTTCTGACTTTGGACACGTGACAAATTCTTTGCAGTGACAGATCTGCTTACTTGCATTGCCAGGGCTGTCAGCCCCCACACTTCTCATTTCCCTGTATCATTATCGTTCACTAAACACACTGTCCTTCTTTCACTCATCATCCCATGGGGCTTACTGTCTATGAAAGGAAGCCAGGGAAACTTGGTTTATACTAACCACCATTTTTCTCTTGCTGATCATAGCAGCAAACTCAGGTTGTACCTCTGTATGAGGGTGAATTTAGTGTACTTTTGTATCATTCATTAAATTAATCAAGAAAACATAATCAGATATGGAAAAGGATCAGATCCAGGAGGACACACAGACAATTCTTCATTCGATTTAACTTAACCAGACTTTCAACAATAAAGAGATCAGGACAAAAGCACATGTATGCAGTAACTATCACAAGGATTCTTGTACTAATCTGATACCTATTTGTGTTTCAACTTCTTCATCAAGCCCAACTATCTCCAAAGTGACAGCCTCTGGTACATCTAAAATAAAAAAAAATGCTGTTGAAGTAACACTTTCCTTATATTCTAACACAGTAAACATGATACATTTGCTTTAGTTCTAAAACAAATCACATAGATTCCACCTAATTGAAAAATAAATATCTGGACTACACTAGTACGACTATCACCTTGGCAATGTTGAAGCTTAAAAGATAGCATGTCCTGTTGCATTTTTTTTTCAAGTGCATGCATATACAGTGTACAATTTACAACGGCTGCAAACACTGTCACCCAAAGCCCTTGATAAATTTATTTGATTTGCAGTGGCTAATTTTGATAGTGGTTAAATTTGAAAACTAAAATTACAGAGAAAACATAGTAAAAAATTGTTCTGAACTGACAGCAGGTAGTATAAACTTCTGCCTTTGTTTTTTCATGTTTGAAATTTTTGCAGAATTCATCACATCATTATTATATATTATAAGAACCGGAGTTAAGAAATGAAAAACTACTCTCATAACTCCTAGACAAATAAATTTAGGAGGCAGTTTCTTCCATAATAAGCAGGGGTAATGAGTATGATTCAAAATTTTCAGAAAGTTTTCTTACCTTCTTTTACTATCAGATGAGTTGTACTTGTGCTGTGGAATATCTTTCCCTCACGAGTGATCGAAATTTTACAGGTATATATCCCTGAGTGCTGAAATGTTAGAGTTTTAAAATCCAGTTCCCGCTCAGTTTTATGCTGAAAGTTCTTACAGTCCTATATTAATGAAGACAGAAAAATACTATTTTGTAGCAAACATATATTCAAAACCCAAAAGAAGATAGAATGATTTTCAAAATAAAATTTCAATGAGATGATAGTAAAAAAGCAATGGTGACATTTATCTGACCCAAAAGAAGTGGATGCTCAATTTGCAGACATGGTGATCCAAATGTCAACATTCAACTCAGCAGAAGCTGAAAGCACTGGCATTTCAAGTAAAAATATAAAAGGTATAAAAATATAAAGGTATAAAAATATAAAGTTATAAAAACATGGCATCAGAACTTTAAATGCAGTCATTTGTTTCATCAGAACTATGGTTTGGGTCTGGAGGTGCTGCTTGTCTATTACCAAAAGTGCTGTTCTAAGATGTCTAGACTGCTAACCAGCTTTTATTTTCAAGCAAAGTGTCTAAGAAAGTGACCCTCAGAGGGTGAAAGGAATTGGACTTGCTTCTATTTGTCCTCTCCACACTCTCAACAACCTACAATCTTTTTGTCTGCAAAGGAAGAAAATCTTAGTGGGCATGGAAAGCACCTGCTAAGCGAAATGTCCCAGGAACATATGGGTCTAAATCACCTTCAACTGAGAAAGGAAAGGGACACTTGCACCGGATTTCCTGCAGGCACATTTATCACTGAGTAAACTTGCACAAAATCTTGTATCACCATCCCCGTTTATCTCCTCAAAGTGATTAGAAGGGTTTTGGATGTGTTCATTAGATCAAGCCCCTAAGGACGTTTAAACATAGACATGCCCGTTTCATGGATCTCAGAGGGGACTGGGCATGAGAATGGCATCAGTTCCTTTGGTTTAGCCAAGAGATTGGTCAGTCTGAGGGATGCTCCTTTATTGAGGAAAACCTCTGAGGCCCTTAAGGACAAGGGAGCAAGGCTGGGGTTCGTGTTACTGGAAGAATGCCTTAACCATTCTTAAATACCAGCATTGAATTCTTTATTAAAAAAAGAAAAAAAAAAAAGAACCCCACCCCTGCTTGGCATGTATGTCAGATCTTTTAGCATTTCCAGACTAACAGGGTATTAATAATTGCTATTACTGGTACATTTTTCTAGTACATCTGAGAACAGAGAGAAACCTTCTTCATTTGTTTGTGTTGTTTCTTCCCCAAACACCAGAAAAATTCAGTCTTCGTGAGATTTGCAAGTTTTCTATTTGCCCTCTAGAAATCTGTTCTGTAACTTGCTTTTCCTGCATCAGATGTTTTATTTTTATAGACAGTGATTTGAACAGACACTGTTTCAATAATTACCTTGTACCATGTTATACTGTCATTTTCATTGACAGATATATCGCTACATTTCAGTGAATAACCACTTCCAACATTTTTAATTTCTGTAGTTAAGTGATTTTCATTGAAACAGCTGCTTTTATTTCTTTCAAGTACATTCAAGGTCCACTTCTGAATTGTGAAATTTTGTTTTCCATTGCTAGGAAAAAAAAATGCAAAATCAGTTTAGGGGATTTTTAAGGAATGCAGCTTAGTGTGTTACACAACAAAATAAAAACAAATGCTTAAAGAAATCTGTTGGGTTAAAAGTATGTCAGTACTGAACTGTTTATTTATATTCCTTTTCATTACTTTTCCATCTCCAAATAAGTGTTTCCCAAAATGAAAAAGGATCTAAACTAAATCATCTATTACAAAACCTTTGATAATGTAATTACATCTATGAAATAAAGCAATATCTATTATATTCACCAGAACAAAAATGCAAACATCTGTGGCATCATATAAAGTTACAAGTGCACATAAAAGAGTTTGAGAGGCTTGAATCAGCCAGCAATGTTACACGTAAAATTCCTACACTTTTACACGTTTAAAGAAGTAATTGAAAAATATTATTTGTTAATAAATGTTAAAAAAGAAAAGACAAGAAACTCTGCTCTTGCTGACAAAGTTACATTACTCCTTGTTTGATACTATGAAGTAAATCACCAACTTATCTGTGGAAATAATTTCTAAACCAGACAAGCCTCATGAATTACAAAATGAATTATTATGGATTCAAGAGAGCCTGCAAAAAAAAGGTGTTTTGGAAAGGATAGCTCTCTCTGTCATTCAGTGTTCATTAATCAGAGATCTACAGTTAGCTGATCACTCCAAACTGACTGGAAGTGTCAGAAACTAACCCTTCCACAGCGAGTTTCATTATATTCTAGTGTAATATGTAGAAAAGCTCTGACAAATATACTCTCATCATGCTTCCTCTGACTATTTAAGAGCTGATTGTGATCATTCAGACATCTACTAGGTGCTATCCACCTATTTCTCTAAAAGCTAAGATTACAGCTGTGTGTTGTTTCAATGTTGGGTATGTCCTAATGCATGACCATCAGGAGAACAGAAACTGGAGGAGTTTTAGTGAAGTGAGGGCTTAAGGGAAAGCTGTATGTTACCACAAGTTAATGGATGAGACTTCCAAAATAACATCTAAACCACAGCTTCCAGTTTTTATTCCTAAAGAAATAAGGCCCGACAAAACAAAAACATTAAACACAGAGCACTTCCCTCTGTCTTCAGGTTTATCTGTATAAATAGGTCTGAACTTTTCTGTTTCCAAAAAAAGAAAAAGGAATTTTTCCCAGGGGAACCAAAACTCAACAACAGCAATGAGCCATTTCACTGAAACGAACCAAGGAGACAAAGCAGCTGAAACGCAGAAACAAGCCTGATGATAAGTGTACTGACTTTCAACACTGTTCTTGTGTACTATGCCTTTGGCAGGGCATATTCTTCTGACAAGAGTCAGAACAACTAGGACATCATTTATATAATGAATTTATATGATTAATTTAGCTTTGTGTGTGTGTGTGTGTGTGTCTTTCTAGCAGATTTGCTTTGCTCGCTCTTTTCAGACAGTATCTTGTCTACAGGCTCTCCTTGCTCTGCTGCCTCATTTGAGGTATTCACAACTCCTAGCTGCATTGTCAGCTAAGCCAAAACACAGTGGTTTGGCCTCTTCATCCGTTAACTATGGTGTTATAAACAGGAAAAGCCCTAGCAAAACATTTTCACCAGAGAGGTATTTGCAGGGGTATTCCCAGCGGGCAGAGTCTATCTCATCTTTCCTGCAATACAGCAGTTACATATTTAAATCAGAGCTACTGATCACAATCTACAGTTGGTTTCCAGACCAGAGTCACCCTTTTAAAATGCAGTTTATGAGACTCATTTTGTATCTCCAGTTTAGGACAAGATAATCTGCCCCAGAAATGCCTATCTCTCCCTGATAATAAAAGTACCTCAGATAACTAGCTTGGATGTAGACATCTACATTTGTTCACATAAAATCTGATGATGTCCAAGTTATGTTTCTATCCTCATTTATACCTACTGATAGTCCCTGGTCATACAGTGTGGGGAACAAAACCATTTCTGGCACAACAGCCTTTCAATACTCCTCCCAAACCCGTCAAAGGGCAACAACAAGCACTAGTTTGACTCAACTTAGAGTAGAAAATGCAAGTTCACCATCAAGTCTGGATACATACCCAAGTCTAGCTCACCCCTTACAAAGTAGAAAACTAAATCTAAAAAAAAGCATCTTCCTGTTGCTTTCAACAGTTCTGCTCACATTACAAATTGAGCAGTATTAGAGCCTCAATATATACAGCACCTTTCCATACTTTAGCTGTTTCATGAACCTGTAAGTTCTCTCAGTTTCAAGGTCCCTACTACAGAGCAGTAAAATGACCTGGTTTTTACTTCTTTTTTTTTTCTTTTCTTTTTGAGAACGACAGGATATGGGCCATGAAAAATTACACAAGCAACGAATCCTCATGAAGATGTGTGACACAGATTTTGCTTAGCACTGTCTCACCAAATACACATCCAATCTTTTTATTTTCAGGAAATGTTGGCAGAAATGTACAAGCTTGTGCTTAGTGATGGAAGTCTACACAAACCTGCACACACCTACACAAACATATGGACCCACTTTAGCTATCTATGCTGTGTATCAGCAGGACCCCTCTACTTTAACTGGAAAACCTCTGATTCCTTTTTATATCAAAAATAGGTGGAGAGTGCATCATAAATTTATCAATAAACTGTTTTCACCTCTCTCTTCTTGAACATAGTCATTTGTAAAAAAAAAAAAAAAAAAACAGGAAAAAAATGCTTGATTAATTTTTTGCAAAAGCTATTCACATTGTGTTGTCTTATTTCTCTCGAGACTTCACAATATAATTAACACTTTGTTCACTAAAACTGCCAAAACACTTATCAGCTTTCTAATAAAACATCTCCCATGTAGCTTATACTCAGATCTCAATGTAATATTTGAAAATCAGCAAAAAGATAAACAAAAACATATGAGAATATGTACCTAGATCTTTAGCACCATACTTCATGAAGTGACTATGTAGGTGAATGACCAAAACTGTTAATGACATAATAACCAAATTCAGATTTCGTATAAAAAGTACCTGCCCGTAACAATGGACAAATGTATGTATGTCAGCTATTATCTAATGCCAACCTTAAGTGTTAAAACTGAATTTCACTTCTGCCACTTCATAGAGAGGTCTGACTCAGTAACCTATTGCTGCTGGCATTATTGTTAGTAACAGTGAATAGTAGCCAAACTACTATATTTATCATCCTTAAAGTCCTTAAGATCAAGTTTGAGATACACTAGCAAAATCCTTCTCATGCTTTACCTATGTTTGATGGAAGAGTGGCCTAACATTGAAATCATGTAAAACAGAAAATAATGTGCAATAAATAGCAACGAATATTTACAAATGAGTAATGAATAATGAGTAATACAAATGACTATTTTTGCTCATAATAATGATACATGGAAAAAATATACATTAGTTCTTAGCTTCCAAATTAGTTTAGTTTTAGGTTAAACCTATCAAACTGGTGTCTGCTGTGTCATCAGAGAAATGTGGAAAGCATTTTTCAGTATCTCAGACACATAACAAAGATCCAACCTTTAAGAAAGAGGCACGAACCTTAAAAATATTATCTGAGAAACAGCACAAAGCATTAAGCATGCTGAACAAAATAATTTATTTTAAATGAATGGCTACCTCATTTGCAAATGGCAAACTACAGGTTTGATGCAAATTAGTCATAAAAACTCCTTGTAAAAAAATCTTCACTTTGTCCTTAGTCTGTTGCTCTTTCTTCATGACCTAATAAAAAGTATCCCAGACAAGTGAACTCCAACCTTGTTTTTTCTTGTTACTCATGATGCTTTACATCAGTAAGAAATCAAATCCAATCACTTTGTTCACTCGATGCGTAGTTCCAAGTTAGGAAAAGTTTTGCAGAGAAGTTCAGTCAAGCCACTCTTACTTTACTACCTTACTACACAATCAGTCCCATCAGTCTACCAGGTAGGCCTCATAGATCCTGTCCCACCTGCTAGAGTAAGGATGAATCTCCCACCTGTTAGAGCAAGGACAAACGCGTTGGGTTCAGAAAACAGGCAATGGAAGGGTTGACTATCACTCATTTTGCTTGGGTAGTTAATCATAAAACAGCAGAATTGCTAACCCCTTTATCAAAAGCTCAGGAAGCTTTGAAAAGAGGCATCTGTCTACAGCAATTTGTAAATACTATTGATCTTACTGAGTGGATATGGTGAAATGACATGGAAAATGACACCATAGATAATGCACTTCCTTGCCCTTGCTTTGTACAGATGCCACCAACAACATGAAGCAGAACAGAAATTGTCTTCTTCATGAGCAACTGCAAAGGCAGGATGTTCAGCCACATGTGTGTTTACCTACCTGCGAGTGACAGAGTAATTCCCAGAGTCACTGAGTTCAGCTGGCCAAAACTCCAGAAAATTCATTTGTGAAACAATTCTGTGTGTTTCTTTTATCAACTTCTGCTTTCCAGCGTTTTCTTTGTACCAGTTTATTGAGTATTCTGCTGTCCGAAAATGTTCTTGCGTTAACTCAGGAAAGCAAAGGAAAAAGTATTCTCCTTCTAGTGTATCAATGGAGGCACGGAGGGGACACAGCCTTTCTTCACAGAAGAAGGAAAAAAAAAGACACATTAGGAAGCCATACACTTATTTCAGAAAACAAGGTGTGTTATGCTGCGCATTTGGTCTTTTTTAAAGAGATATTCTTTCAGCAGAGTAGCTTGGCAGTATTCAGTTGTTTCAGCAATATTTATTTCAACCTGAGAACATGGTTTTCCAAGTCTGCATTCTACCTTACTCAAGCAAAACTAGAAGGAAAAGGATTCAGAATTTCCTTATGGTTCTGTCAGTCCAAAAGTGTCAGAATGAAATGAGCACAGATGGCAGAATGTGGCCTCATTCTATAATAAAGCACACAAATGGAAGGAGGGACGAAAAATCACATATGAATTGTCTTGACAAATATGGCTAATCCTCAAAACTGATCAACTGTCCTAAAAAGAGGTGCTATAAATTTAGACTTGCATTTTCTCATCTTTTCAATTAATATTATTAAGTAGCTATATTTCTTTAAAATTTTTTGATAGCTTCATAAAATTTCTCTCATACTGAGACTGTATGAGTAAAATTTAATCTCAAAGTCTGCTTTTCCAAATACATTTCCGAAAGTAACCTTGCATGCAGGAAATCATACAAAATACCAAAAAGCGACTATAAGAACCATGAATAAAATAAGGCTTCAGTCTTTATTCCTCTTGAGATTCCCAGAGATCATCACAGTTTAAGTATTGTGACTGTACTTCTGAAAGGCACAAAAGGAAGCAGATTCATTCATTCTCTTGCTTGCTATGTTTCTCCATATAGCTATGCTCCTATACAGCTTTCTCAGCTTGTCTCCAGGCAGCATCTTGGTTCTTTTTCTTTCATATTTTTTGTTATTTATGAAGAGAACAAGCTTCCAAAGATCAGAAGCATGCTGCCATTAACAAAACCAGTAAGATTTTGTTCTCAATTCTTCTGGTAACAAAGCTCAGAAAATCCAGTTTTTGCCTGGTTGTCTCCCAGTATACAAAACTCTCAGCAGCTCTGAGAAGAAGGTGCCATTTATTCAGCAACTATTTAAGGTTTTACTGTTGAAGTGAGGACTTACTTACCAGTGGCAGATCCAATGACAAATATTAACAAAAAAATCACAAGAGGCATTTTCTTGAGTTACTTATCACTTCTTCTCCAAAAAGATGAAAGGTATATTGCTCTTGATTGCACTGAAAGCCTAAGAAAAAGATTCATAATTCCTCATAAGTGCAATGGAATGGACCACTTCAAAGCTTGTGATCAGTGTAAATAATGGCTGTTACTGAACAGGGATTTCCAGATGGAAAGTTACTCATTTTTGTCATAATAGGTATTGTCATGTATTAGGTCACAAAGTTTTCTAGGCATGATTTATTTTAAACTCAGAAAGAAATGCAGGGTTTCCTTCCTGCTTTTTCTCATTCATTAGTCACATGGCATTCTCTGAATCAAAATCACAACCTTAATGACAGAAACACCCCAAATTAGGTTCTAAGTAAACAACTATCATTGATTAGGACAATATTTTTCCCTCACAATCTTTGCAAGACTAGACCTTACAGAAATACAGGTGACAAAAATCTTGCTTGCCTTCAGTGAGAACCTCACAATCCTGTTAGATTGGACATCTTGGTGTTCAATTTTTTGATCCTGTTGGAAAGCAACGACATCTGTAATTTTGTCTCACGTTTTCACCTGCAGAACAGTTAGGTACCAGGTTCTAATGTTTCCTTTGAGGAAGGAGGTTGAAGGGGCTTCTGGTCAGTTACTTTATATGTAGTCAATTGACCTTTCAAAGACAAATGCAAAATGCTACTAATTAATACCAGGGTGGAATATCTTCCGTGAGATTCCTCAGAAAAGTAGGCTCCCACAATCAATGGCACAGCCAGAGCTAACTATGCCTCAGTCTTGCTTACAAGACAAAGAAATCAGGTGCATAAGAAACACAGTTGAGCTACCAGCCAAGACAGACAGCCCTGCTCAGTTACTGAGCACAACAAATGTGATGTGCACATAAGAAACAAGTGTCATAGAGAGCTGGCAGAAGAAAACTCTTTTAAGAATCCATTTCTTTGGTTTTGTTACCTAAACCTCTTGCAGTTTGAGAACATACTTACTGACACCATCTACTGATTTTATTTACAGACAGAATCTTCTCTTGATAAAAAGCAGTCGCGTAGTGTGACTATTGCATTTAAAGCAATGGTACAGAATGATCCCAGACATGTAGCTGTCCTCCCTCTTTTACTATGCTGCACTAAGATGCCCTCATCCCATAAATCATTGTAAGAAGATCAAAAAACTACATCACATCCCCTTTTTCAAACTGAGTGTTGGGCGGATCCAAATTTAGACAACATCTAAAAGAAACTGGATGCTGCAACTAGCAACTTTCAAGTGGCCACACAGCAAACTCCTCAGACCTGGTTTCAATTCCCTTCTACACGTGGAGATTCAAAGTCTTACATTTTACAAGCAAGGCAGGACCTCCTTCTTTATTTTCACTTCCTGAATTTACTTTTGTTTTGTTAACTTTTCCCCTTGTAAGACTAATGTATCCAAAAGAAATACAGCTGTTACAGACCATTAGAGTAAGGTCCACTGAATATGGATAAAACCATAAACAATCAGATTTTAATTCTAAATCCCATTCTTTGTTGACACATCCTGTTTGCACAAACAGGGAGGTTTTGGTGAACACACAGCACAGCCTTGCATTCCTTTAAACAGGAATTAAATAACACAATATTATGTAAAACACTTAATAATGATCAGATTTGGGGTTTACAGCTGCTGTTAACAGGCAAAACATACATCCTTCTTTGTACTCACGCTTTGTTGCTACATCAGTTTGTTGAAGTTGTTCTGCTTCAGACTAACAGTATTTACATTTGGAACACATGGTTTCCAGTACTCTATCATCAAATACCAGGAAAGGAAAAAAAAAAAGAAAAAGAAAGAAAAAAAAAGAAAACTGCTCTTGACAAAACTCAGCAAATATAAAAAGACTTTTTTAAGGGAAAAAAAAAAGGTTTCTACTTTCCAGAAAGAATCAAGGAGATATTTTAGAACAGAGACAAAAATTCTCTGTTCAATAAAGGAGGGATTACAGCAGAATACAGAGACATTCAACAGGCAAAATACCATGGCAATAGCAGGGAATAACAGTTTCCAACTGTTGTTTAAAAAGTAGTTTTCTGTGAAGCCCAAAACAACAGGTGATTTTAGCATGTTTTTCAAAATTCATTCATACTCAAAGCCACTGTTGGACTTTTAATATAAAAAAAGATAGTTTTAAAAATTTTCCATTTTGAAACCAACGAAGTTTTAATCAAACTGAAGGTTGCAAAATCTGTAAAGTACCTTAGTGGTGTCTCATGCAGGAGACAATTGTCCATGTTTAAGCATCATTAAAATTATTCTTCAAATTCCTAGAATCCCAACAAGATTTTGGCATGAAAAGAAGTTGATACATCAGAGTGATCTTTAGTTTTGGTCAAGCAACTCGCTTTAGTCAATACTTTGGGAAACCAGAATTGGTCCCAATGGTTTTTGATTTCCTCTTTTTAAAAAAGAAAAAAAAAAATTCTTCTCAACCACAGACAGTTTGAGCAAACATTGTGGGACCAGGTGAGCAAACCACTAATCTTACCTCTTTAAGGACAGATTCTTGCAGAGCTGAAGTCTATTTCTCACAGGACTATCCAGTGCTGCAGTTCATTCAAGAGTTCAATAAAAGAAAAAAAAGTCAGGAAAATTACAATAGCTTTACTAAGACTAAGCAACTTTCTGCAAAGGTCACTGCTTATTGGTTAAAATTGAGATCTATCTCTGTTTCAAGCAACATGAATGAAGGTGTTTACTCACGATGCGGATCTTGCCAGGATGACACCTGCAGATGAATCAATCTCCCAAACTCCAGGCAGCGACGCAGCTTGTAGTACACAACCTTCTGGACCTTAAAAACCTTAATAACCGTAGCTTATGTCTGCAACAGCGAGCAACCTCTCTAAGAGAGCGAGACCATGCAGATACAGCTCAGTCTGAAAGAAAAAAAAATCCCGAAACAGGAAGAGTAGAATTAGTCACTTTGTGAACCGATGGCTTTGAGGGGGGAAACGAGAAAAGGCTGATCCGGCAATTTTCTTTGCAGCAGCACTGATTGCAAAGGTGGCAGTAGTGGCAATAAATGGCACTAACTTCTCTAAACGGAGCACTCGGGGTCCCTATAAACGTTTTGGGAATCGTGTGTCCCCACCACCACCCTCAGTGGTTATTCAGGGAGTCCGCCCTGCTCCGGAGCCAGTGCCAGCAGGCGGAATAAGCCCTGTCCAGAGCTAGTGGGTTAAATAATGTGGTTTAAATAAGATTGATAGTAGTATCCCGGTCCCAGAGGGAAGCGGCGGGAGGCGCTGGCCGCAGCCCCGCGGCGGGAACCTCACCGAGGAGGAC